CAGGGAGGCCATGGCGTCCCTGTGGCATCCCTAGCCCACCATGGAGAGGCCACTCTTAGGGGTGGCCATGTGCCTGCTCTGGTCCCTTCCGGCCATTTTGGAGTGCCTGCAGCTGCTGTTCCATGCCGCTGCACTTCTTGTTCAGGACCTCGAGGCGCAGGTCACTCTGCACTCCCTCACCAGGCATCCCTACCCCACCATGGAGAGGCCCTTGTGGAGACTAGACACCAGGCTGGTCCTGGGGCAATAGGACAACCAGCAACAGCTCCGGAACTTTCGGATGTGAAAGCGGACGTTCCTGGAGCTACGTGCCTGGCTCGCCCCTGCGCTCCAGAGAAGCACCACCTGGCTGCGGGCACCCATCCCCGTGGACAAGAGGGTCACCATCACACTGTGGAAGCTGGCCACTCCGGACAGCTACCGATCGGTGGCACACCAGTTTGGGGTGGGCAGATCGACCATCGGTGCCGTCCTGATAGAGGTAAGTCCTAGGGGGAGTGGGATGGGGGGAGGGTGCTGCACTCCATGCCAAGGGGCAGGCAAGACTCCAGACTGGGTCACTCAGGGGTTTGGGCCGTCCCTCCCTTGCACAGGCCTGCTGGTGGGGGGAGGGCATGGGGCAACGGGGCCCTGGTGTGTGTGTGTGCATGAGGACAGAGGGCATCACGGGGGGGGAGGGCCAAGAGGGCACACATTCATCCTTTCATCCTGCCTGATGTGTTCCCGTGTTTCTCTGCACCCTTCTGCAGGTCGTCCATGCCATCAATGACGTCCTGCTCCCGAGAGTGATCCTCCTGTGCGATGTGGAGGCTATGATGACTGGTTTCGCTGCCCTCGGGTTCCCCAACTGCGGGGGAGCCCTGGATGCAACCCACATCCCCGTCCATGCCCCGGAGCATCGAGCGGCCCATTAACAGAAAGGGGTACTTCTCAATTGTACTCCAGGTCCTCATGGACCACCATGGCCGCTTCCTGGACGTTTATGCGGGCTGGTCCATCAGGGCACATGACGCCCGCATCCTCCAGAACTCCAGCCTGTTTCGCAGGCTGGAGGCGGGCACTTACTTTCCCCAGCGGGAATTTGCTGTCGGGGACGTGCCCATGCCCACCTGTGTTGTGGGGGATGCGGACTACCCCCTGCTGCCTTGGCTAATGTGGCCCTACACGGGGCGGCTGGACCACAACTGGGCCCAGTTCAATGACCGCCTCAACCGGGCCTGCAACCAAGTCGAGTGCACCTTCGGGCGGTTGAAAGCCCGGTTCCGTTGCTTGCTCACGTCTCGCGATGAGTGAGCAGAATGTCCCGGAGGTAGTGGCCGCGTGCTGCATGCTCCACAATCTCGTGGAGCTTAGGGGGAAGGCATTCCTTCCGGCATGGATGGCAGGCGAGGGCCAGGCCTACGAACAGCCCCACACAGCTGCCATCCGCCAGGCGCACCATGATGGGGTGCGCATCCGGGAAGCCCTGACAGACATGTTCTCCCAGGCCCCATAGTAGGGTTACCTCTGTCTCTCTTTACAACTCCCTCCCATCCCTAACCCTTCCCCTGTCCCCTCCCCTTACCCTTCCAATAAATAACAACACAGGTTTTTTTTAAACACAAGCTTGGAACTTTTTATTTACAATGGGGAGCGGGGAGATGTAGGACGGGAGGGAGAGGAGACTTTGAACTGGGAGAGGGAGGAGCTACTTCTGGGAGGGGTGGCCCCTGCGACTGCTTCTGTGGGGGCAGACCTGCACATGGGGGGTCAGGCCGTGTCAGGGCAGGCAGCACAGGGAGGTAGGCAGGAGGGGCCATTGCAGGAGTGGCTATTGCAGGAGGGGAAGGAGCAGGAGGGGGCATGGGCAGTGCTAGGGGAGAGATGGCGGGTGCATGGGGTAAGGCCATGCCATAGTGAATGGTATGGCCAATGTGTGCGGTGAGCGTGGATATGGCATCCACCATGCGCATGCTCTGGGCCTGGAAGGCGGCCTGGAAGGTGTTCGACAGCCTGCACGTGGCGCCGAAGGAGCTGGTCCTGCTGCCGGACCTGCTGCCTTGGTGGTTGGGCAGTGGGGGTGCTGCCGCTGCCGCAGGGCTGGAGGGTCCCCTGCTTTTGCTTGGTCCCACTGCAGGGAAGAGAAGAAAGGATGCGTCAGTCAGGCAGCCAGGCCACTGTCCCCACACCTCATGCCCTCCACCCATGAGCCCAGGTGACACCACAGTAGTGTGGCTTGGGCCCACTTGGTTACCCCCCTGGCCTTCTGTTGTATGTTTGCATACAGGACCGCCCCTGGAGTAGGGTCCTCCTCCATGTATTGTAACCACCGGTCTGTGTCCTGGCCCCGTGGAGGGTGGGAGGGCGCTTGTGTTGTCTTCACCTGTGGAACTCCCTGCTGGTGGAGGCTGTGAGGCTTTGGGCTAATCAATGGTGTTTGACAGGGAGCGAGATGAATCCCCACACAGTGCCTGGGAGCACATCTGTCAGATGTGGTCTGGGCTCTCAGATCCCCATCGCATGGGATGTCTCCTGGACGGAACCAGGAGAGTGACTGGGGAGTGTACCATCCTTGCAGCGAAACTCAGGTGGCTCTAGGGCCAGACCGAGCGCTTACCTCCTTCCCCCTCCCGTTAGCCCTCACACACGTAGCCCAGGGACATGTGTAGCTACAGTGGGGACTTCCCTTGGGGAGCCAGCCAAGGCACCGGGAGCATGGAACAGCGTGCCGTTCCGCGTGCTGCACTCTTGTGGAGATGTGTGGCTCTAGCCTGAGTCCCTGGGACCCTGGCTGGTTCCAGCCGGCATCCACCCTTCCCCCCTGGTCCTACCGCATGTGTGAGAGCAGCATGGTCCCAGGCGTGCCCTGCAGCTGCCTGCCGCAGCCATGTCCCACTCGGTTACCAGGCTGCACATGGTTGCACATGCTGCTTCCTGCCTAATGCTTCACAGCGTGCAGCTCACGCGGCCTGAGTGACATACTGTCCTCCTTCCCCCTCCGGGTGCCTGGCTCCCGCCCTCACTCCCTGCCTTTGTGATTGCAAAGTGTAACACTCACCGGTGGATCCATTCTCCGTCTCTGAGGATGCACGGGAGACGTTGGGACTGCCGGAGGGGGCCTACTGGGTGGCAGTACTGGCCTTGTCCTCCGATGCACTGCTGTATCCTTCTCCTGCCTTGGTAGTCCTAGTGACGGGGGGCACATGCTGCTGTCCACGGGGACACCTGATGCCTTCTGGTGCTGGCTGGCCCAGGATAGTGTGGAGCCATTGGTAATGGGGGCAGGTGTCGGCTCCTGCCCCCTGACCCTCACTGGCCTGGACGTAGCCAAGGCACAGCATTTTGACTTTAGCCCGGACTTGTTCCAGGGCCTGGGCTGGATGGCCCTGCTGGGCGAGTGCGTGGGCCATGCGGGAAAAGATCTCCGCGTTCCGGCACTGGAAGCAGGTCTCATGCAGGTCCTCCTCCTCCTTCCAGAGGTCCATGAGGGCTTCCAGCTCCCCTGGGGACCAGGATGGGGCCCTTTTTTTTCTGGCCCTGGGGGCCTCCTGTGCTGGGGGTGCGGGTGGCTGGTCCCCACCTGGAGCTGCCATCCTGCTTGGGGGGGTGTCTGCTGGATGGCAGGGGCCATGTGGCAGAGCTGTGCCCAGAGGTCTGAGAAGGGCTCCTGCCTTGTGACCTCAGCAGCCGGCATCTGCGTCTGCTTTAAGGAGGCTCGGGTTACCAGGAAGTCTGAGAGCTGATTGTGGCTATGGAGCCTCCGAGTGTCCACTAGGTTTTTTTTTCGTTTAGCCTGCTTTTGCGCAAAACGTCTTAGCTGCCTGTCTACACTGGCCCTTTTGTGCAAAAACATTTCCGCAAGAGGGCTTTTTCCCCAAACGGGAACGTCAAAGCATTTGCGCAAGAAGCACTGATTTCGGACAGTAGAACGTCAGTGCTTTTGCGCAAAAGCAAGCGGCCAAAGTAGACAGCTGGCAAGTTAGATCTTGCCAGTCTAGACGCACCCTAACAGATTAAAGACTGTCAGATGTATAGAGGCTCCACGCATCTGATAATGTGGGTTTTACTTCTGAGAACTTATGCCCAAATAAATGTTTTAGTTTTTAAGGTGCCACAGGGACTCCTCATTGTAATATCAGCAATAAACAAAATTATTTTTCACGCCGATCTTAATAAAAAAATCAGAATATTATAACTACGATTATAAATATTTTAGAAAATTACTGAAAACTTGGGCTGCCAGGAAGGCACAGATTAAGTATTGGTTTTAAAGATAGCTGATGTGAAGTTACAACTTGCTGGTAAGCTTCACTGCTTTCTTCTCTCCCACTTCCCTGTGAAGCAGCTGCCTTGAGCGTTCAGACGCTTGTTTCCTAGAGCCATAATTGTCTCTTTGTTTGAGTTAAAACTCTCTTGGGTCACCCAAACATAAAGGGTTTGAAGTGGAGGGGGAGGAACCTTAGGAAAGTGTAGTGACTGTTTTCTCCACGTGCAAGCACAGAATCTCCAAAGATGAAGCCAGACCAGAGAATGGGCTGGTTATATTAGTTCAATGGTAAAACAGCAGACTGCACATTTTACCGGGCAGGTCAGGGACAGGTCCACCAACAGAACCAGAGATTAAAAGAGCAGCGGCGATAGCTGGAGGCTTAGGCCCCTTTGAATTGCTGTTGGAGCACCACTCTGCAGCTATGAGGGCTGGGCGGGGAGGGAAGGGGGAAGCACACTACAGTCTGGGTGGCACTAAGGGCTGACTGCCCTCAGCTCTGCCCCTTCCAGGGGCACAAAGACAGATCCCCCACACACCTTGCCCTGGGGCCCATGGTGGCTGTCAGTACCCTGGTCAGGCATGAACAGTAAATCTTTTCTGCTCAATGGACTACTTGGAGAAGGACTGGATAAACATGAATTTCAGTTACCTTGCAATCAATACAGAACAATCGCAGACTCACAGAGATTGTCTTGTTATTCAACCCTTTCACAGCCATAGTTCAATTCAGTACTACTTGGGTTCACTGTACCTTATTAAGCTGTCAACACTGTCAGGATCTTGTGCTGCCACTGTACCAATAACAGTTCCAATCTTTGCATTTTCATAAACTTCCATGACATAGAAAGGCATAGAGAAGATTGGAGGTTCATCCACATCCCCAACAATGATCTTCAGCATTGTTACATCTTTAAATGGTCCCAAGTGTGAAAAGCGGAAATCAAGGTGTGTATTTGCGCCTTCTATATTAAGAGTATAGGATTTCTTTTTTTCATAGTTGAGAGGCTGTTGGGAGAAGAAAGATATGACAGTAATATGTTGTGCCTTCGTTTAACTTACCTGCAAACAAAATTTTTTTCAGTTTTGTTAGAAAGACAATTAGAGAATGTCTACACTCTACTAAACCACATACAGCTGCCCTTTAGCAACTCATTTGGGCTTATGGGCCTATAAAATTGCACTGTAGAGGTTTGGGCTAGGACAAAACACAGGAAAAAAATTCTAAATGTATATTTCACTTCTTTTTACATCCATTCACCCATTGAATCATAAGTACAAATTAAATTACAATAATGAAATGCTAACTTTGCAACTATACATTCAAAGTCAGGAAACATACAATTTATGGTTGCATATACAATCTTAGTTCTGCCTTCTAGTGTTATTAATGTTTCTTAATAAAGTTTTCTTTAAACAATTTTAGATATTCATGTTTACCATCTGGTACTAATGTGTAGTACTGGGTGTAAATAAGACAAAAGGGCTGCATCCTCATAATTTTGTGAAAAATTCTGAGAGCTAAGCAGGGGAAAGGTGGTAATAACCAGGCCTAAGAATGATTGCAATTACCTTGCAATCAATATAGTACAATCCCAGGTTCACAGAGACTGGTCTGTTATTCTAGATGCAAAGTGAACACATTCCATATGATGCAAGCACATGTGCGCTGTGCTAATGTGCTAACTTAATGGAAGTATTCTATTACAATGATTTTCAGACTATGGGTCCTGACCCAGTACAGCGTTGCAGAATGTCACGCTCTGGGTCATCTTGCTGTAGGGTGACCAGGTGACCAGCGGGGGTGCTAAGGTAGGTTTCTTGCCTGCCAGGAATAGAAGAACACGCTGCACCCTGGAAGTGGACAGCAGCTAGTCTGGCACCTAGGCAAGATGGCTCCATTCATTGCTCCCACACATGCACCAGTTCTTCAGTCCCATTGACTGGGATTTATGGCCAATGAGAGCTGGGGGCAGTGCATGTGTGCAAGATCAGTGCGCAGAGCCACTTGCACACCTCTGCTGCGCACCGCTAGAAGCCTGCCTTAGCACTCCTGCTGCACTGATGTCCAGGTACAGCTGGAGGTAAGCCAGTGTCCCAACCCCACACCCCAGTCCTCTTCCCCAGCCCTGAGTCCCTCCCCACCTGGAGCCTGCTCTTATACCCCAAACGCCTCATCCCCAGCCCTACTTCAGAGCCTATACTCTAGTCAAAGGATATAATTATGTTGGGTTGTGAGCATCTACAATTATCTTTAACTGGGTCATGAGAAAAAAAGTTTGAAAACCACAGTTCTACAGGTTGAACCTTTCTAGTCTGGCACTTTTTGGTATGGCGACATCTGTGGTCCAACATGCTTTTAGTTAGCTGGGTGTTCATTTATCATGGATTTGGCCAAGTTTTCCATGATTCTATAACATTTTTTTACAGCCGCCAATCCTGGCTTTCAGTGTTCTGTGTTGTTATTTAGCTCTAATTTATTCTTAAATGTCTTCTAAGAGCCCAATAAGCAGAAGTAGTATTGGTAATGTTGCTAGACAATATTGACCTCCCGTGGTTCAGCAAATTCTCATATTTGGCACCCATCAGGAGAGGTTCAACCTGTATTATATGTGCTCAAACTGCAGTTTTCCTATATTCATAAACTAGTAAACTTAAAAAAACCCTTAAAGCTACATATACACTGCAGGCTTCTTGTGCAAGAAGGGCCATTCTTGTGCAAAAACGTGCACAGCATCTACACTGTACACACGTTCATGCACAAATAAATTTACAGTAAAGTGTTGGAACAGAGGGCTTCTTGAGCAAGAGTTATTCCTCTTCCCACGAGGAATAAGCCCTCTTGTGCAAGAAGGCAGTGTGGACCGGCAACAGGGGTTTCTTGTGCAAAAAACCCCATGGCTAAAATGGCCATCAGAGCTTTCTTGCGCAAGCAAGTGTCCACACTGCCATGAACGCTCTTGTGCAAAAACACATCTCTTGCGCAAAAGTATATGGCAAGTGTTTTTCTTGCACAAAACAGTTCTTGCATGAGAAGCCTGAAGTGTAGACGTAGCCTAATAGTTTTAAATTAGGAAGGTATTAGTCATCAAAGGATTATATCCATGTTATATTTCATGTCAGTCATTTCAAAAAAGAGAAAGAGGTATTTTTTATTTCAAATGTCTGAAGAGATTGTGTTCAAATTTTTCAGCTAATTCCATCTTTAAGCAGACATCCACACAAGGAAAATTTAAGACCACAGTTTGAATATTTTAAGTTTTGAGAATATGAAAAAGTCGCTTATAATGGAAATGGTTCTAGAACCTCAAAAAAGTTCTAACTGCTTAACAATGTTATCAAGACATTTTGTGAAATTACATAAAAATAAAGCATGCATCTCTTTTTAAGCAATATGCACCACATTTTGTTCTATAAATATAAATATATACACAAATACACACTGAGCTCCCTGTAGGCAGAAACCATACCCTAACAAAGAACTCCACTGAAATCAGGAAAGACTGACTGAGTAGGCCTTAACGCAAGAGTGAAGCCACATTTGAAAGCTATTTAGGTTCATTTCCTATCAACCCAAACACTGGGAATCTAAAACATCATCTAAAACATCAGGAATTGTAATGAACTGGATGTGTGA